TCACACTTTCCACTTATAGAAGATATGCAGCATCTTACTGCAAACGCTGAAGGTCCTGAACTTCCTTTGGAAGTACAATCTGCTCCGTCCCTTCTTGTAGAAGTCTTAACATGTGTCTCTAGTCTAGTTTATTGTCCAGCTGAACACCAAGGTATTTATACTCCTCCACCACCTCCACTTCTTCTCCTCTGATGTTTATAGGATTTAACTTGTTCTTTTTTCTTCTGAATCAATCATCTCCTTGTTTTGTTGGCATTCAGGATCAGATGATTGTTTCCACACCATGCCATAAACCTTTTCAGCAGCTCTCTGTCCTCAGCTTCTTGTCCACCGTCGATGCACCCAATGATTGACTTTATTGATTGACTTTTTTGGTTGCAGAGTCCTCTGAGTATTTCAGTATAACAGGACTCTGTCCGGTACTGGAAGTCAGACGTGTAAAGAGTAAAAAGGAACGGAGAGAGTACCGTCCCCTGCGGTGCTCCTGTGCTGCTGATTACTTTATTAGACAGCTGAGGCTTCAGTCTGACAAACTGTGGTCTGTTTGTAAGGTAGTCTTTGATCCAGATGATAAAATGGTTAATAATCTGAGCAGAGAAAAACAACAGTGTGATCTGATTTCCCAAGAGGAAATACTTTAGAAATGTAGCAGTCCTTCACATTTGTATAAAACAAGTCCAAAGTTTCGTTTTCTCTGGAGCACTTTTGGAAAGTTGGCAGTGTAGCAAAGAGTTCTTGCCACAAATCCATTTGGCTGTTGTGTCACCAGCTTACTGTAGCAACAACAGTTCTGTTGTTGCTCAGCTACTGCATTTGGCTGTTTTGTCAGCACGGTTTCTATCAGTCTGATCCTCAATAAATATTAATCATCACTGATTTGTTTCAAAATTCAGCAGATTTAAAACACTTCATTTATAATGTTTGTTAAAATGTCAGAACTTCCAGAACAGACCCAAACTCCCCATAACCCCCTACCCCAGTTAACCAGCATTCAAAAATAACCCAAGATGGTTTAGGTTAGATTAATTGGCTTCTCTAAAACTCTCATTAGGTTTGAGTGTGTGCATGAATGGTTGTTTGTCCGGTTTGTGTTACCCTGCAATGGACTGGTGACCTGTCTAAAGTGTACCCCGCCTCTTGCCCATAGATGGCTGGAGATACAGTGGGGCAAAAAAGTATTTAGTCAGC